TCTGTGGTCCGAAGAAGGCTTCAAGCCGAAACCAATTACCGCCATTTTTTTATTTCAAGGGTTTTTTACAAGCACTCTAGGAAACTAACTTTCACAAGTGTCACTACATAGTTGCTGCCACGTATTGACAACATGACACCTAACTGGTGTTCCATTCGTCTCAAACCTGATTCTACTGCGATGGCCAACAATAAATTCAATGCTTTCAATGCAACCGACGCCGACAACAACACCAATGTCACCAAGTCTAACCAGCTTCGTCGATCTACACGAATCTCAAGGATTCAAAGCGCGAGGTGTCTTCGTAAAGATAAAGAGCTGACAAGGAACTGGTCGCGGCTTGTGATACGTACTGCAAAGCGGCTCAAGACATCCTTATTACCATGAAGAAGAAAGCTGCCGATGAACCTCGTAACGAAGCAGTTTCCATCTTTCAACGTCTGCACGATCAGATTACGAACTACATTAATCTGGCTAAGAAGACCGACATCGGCACTAAGAATTCCAAGTTGATGAAGCACCTGAATTATTTCAAGGATCGGGTGATCGCTGAATTCAAAGAATCGATGTCTGTTTTTGTCATGGATGCTAACCTCTTCGAAGTGCATCTTAAGGAGAAGAAGAAGGAAGTCGACGATAAGAAGGTTGCTGAGACAAAGGAAGCAGAGAAACTCACCGTCGACGAATCTGTGTAGGAGATTGCTAAACAAGAAGTCGAAAAGGCTCTCTCCAAGCGGTCTGGCAGCAAAGGAGCAGAACGGCAAACGCGGAAAGTAGAACCCGGGTGGTTTCAACGTCAACCGCAACGCCGCCGTCAAGAAGAAGAACCAGTCCCGCAAGGGAAAGGGTAATGGCAACGGCAACGGGAAGAAGAAGAACAATTCTGGTCTTGGGAAGAACGCCGACAACGCGACGACGCACGCGGCCTAGACTATGGGACGTTCTTTCGCGGGACGCAATGCCTCTCGTCAGCAGCCACGCGATTTCGCGCTGGCAAAAAACGGGGGAGGTTCCGGCCTCGGTAAAACGAAGCAACAGTAGTGGACGATGTCCACGTGTACGCACTGATCCTGTTTGGTCAGAAGACCGAGAGTCAGCTGTGCTCAGAGTTACCAACCGTGGCTTCCACATTTTCAGTGACCATATCTTCACTTGCGATGAGCTACTACTGCTTTGCTTGGGACTCAAATTCATACTGACCCCACCCATCCGCACCATTTCTAGTTTAGATACTGAGCTACACACTTTCATGAACAGTGTTCGTACGATGTATCTTTTTGGAGGAGCTGATATCGTTTCTGCCTATGAAGGCTATGAACTCCCCAAAAGGGATAACTGGATTCCACCTCCGACTTCTTCCGAGATCGAGACGGCCATAGCGGTCTTCAAAGATTCGGTCGCCAGGAGTGTCGATGATCAAACTTTTCGCTCCAGGATCCGAAAGAACGTCTTCCATACACTTCGACGGCTTGCTTCCAATCCGAATCTAATTTTCAAGCCTGCAGATAAAAACCTCGGCTTGACGGTGATGAGTAAAGACTTCTATCAAGAGAAATGTTTACAACATCTTCTGAATCTGAAAGTCTACAAAGAATACTCTTCTGTCCCAGTCGAGGATATTCTGCACGAACTCCATTCCATTCACGAGGATTTTTACCCTCTACTTGCTAAGAAGACATGGGCTTCTTTCTACAAGGCTCCTAAGAACAGATGGAAAATCCCGGCGTTCAATGTCCTCTTGAAGATCCATAAGAAAATCCCAGTTGGTCGACCCATCGCGGCTAGTCACTTCTGGATGACGTCTAACGTTTCTCGCTGACTGGACGCGGTGCTTCGACCTTTGGTCTTACAGCAGTCCACCTATGTCAAAGACTCACAAAGTCTTGTTCTCCAACTTGAGCAGCGGAGTATTTCTGACAATCTTTTCCTGGCTCTTACGACGTGGAATCTTTATACCCGCCGATTCCCCTACTTGACGGGATTGATGGAGTTTCTTTTTTCCTACAGAGGGCTAGACATTTGCTAGCTCCGCTGGTCACTCGCCTGCTGAAGTGGGTGATGTTCAATAGCAATGTTACTTTTAACGGCAGATTTTTCCGCCAAATTCAGAAAACCGCCATGGGGACTTCAGTTGCAGTTTGCCTCTCGGTCCTGTTCATGAGCTTCCTCGACATTAAGCTACACCGTTCAATCCCTTCACCCCCCGCTCTACACCTTCGTTTCATCGATGGCAGTCTGAAATTGTGGGAGGGTTCGAGGGAGGGTTTTCAACAGCTAAAAGTGCGTTTCGACACGCATCATCCTTCAATTCGCCTGACTTGGATTTTGTCTGAAACTTCAATGGATTTCCTGGACGTTACTTTCTTCAAAGGGAAACGCTTCAAGAATTCCGGGGTTCTAGACGTTAAGCTGTTTCAGAAGCCGATGAATCGGTATCTGTAGTAACCCTTCGGTCTTATCATTCTCGGACTATCAAACTTGGTTTCATCCGGAGCGAACTACACAGATTTCTGCTACGGTCTTTATTTCGGGCTGACTTCCTGAATTCAAGGGCCTTTTTCTTCGCTCGGCTAAGAGCCAGAGGGTACACTGAGAAATTTCTGCTACCAGTCTTCAAGTCAGTCTCTTTCGCCTCTCGCAACGAACTTCTCACTCGCGCCTCTTCAATTCGCGACTCTCCTAAACGTGGGCCCCTTGTGTTGAAATCTTTGCTCAACCCCTTGGTTGACCATTCACACTTGGGGAAACTATTGAGTCGACTCAAAAGTCACCTCGTTACAATGTCACACAACACCTTCGCTTCAAGGAGAGCCATTATCGCATGGAGGCTGCCGAAGAGAATTGGGAACTTTTTAGTCTCCGCACATAAGTGCTAGTATACAGTAGTTATTACTGTTTTGTGCTTATTTCTTTCTTTGCTGCATCCCCACTTTCTCCGCGACGGTTTCCCCGCGCGAGATGAATCTTGGGCGACATCCTCTAGGCGTATAAGTGGTGTTTGTTTTCATTAGGACTCTGTGGTCTGAACAAGCGTCAAGCCGAAACTGGTTACCGCCAATTTTTTATTTCAAGAGTTTTTTACACGCACTCTACTAAACTTTCACATGTGTCACTACATAGTTGCTGCCACGTATTGACAACATGGCGCCTAGCCGGTGTTCCATTGGATGCCGTAGAGCAGCTAGCAGTGCGCACATGCATGCACGCACGAGCCTCCCCACCTACCCTCCATGCTCAACTTCGCCTCGCCTCGGCTCCTTTTGAGGCGCTTCTCAAAGTAGATTGGCTCCCCTCCACACCACACCCTCAATGCTGTACTTCGCTGCTTAGCCTCACCTTGGCTCGAAAGTTGTTATGCCGGAGATCGGGCCACAATCTCTGTTTGTCGGTGTTGGCAAAGAACACGTAGAGCAGCTAGAAGTGTGAGTACCTCTGTGCCTAGAGATCTCACCACTAAATTCTTACCTTGGCTCGGAAGTTGCTGTGCAAGGGGTCAGACCACAGTCGCTGAATGTCCGTGTTGGCGTGGAACACATACAGCAGCCAGCAGTGCGAGTAGCCCTCCAATCCCTGCAGCGCTGCTGGCGCTACCCCGCCACGTGGCAGCTCCAGATAGGCCCGCGCTGCCGGCACTAGCAACGGCTGTCGTGGCGTGCCATTCCTGATGCGGTGAAGAGGGATGGAGGAGGGTGTAAAAGGGCGGAAGAGGGTACGAGGGTCTGTCTGGTGTAGAGGTACGGTACGATAGTGGGAGACGTTTTAGAATTCCAAAAAGAATCTCTCACAAGGACAAGGATAGGTGGAGAAGGAGGAGGACGACACCTGTGGGGGAAAGAGTTGGGCAGACCACTTGGGAGAGAAACAAAAAGCACCTGAAAGTCAACCTGTCCATCTGGGAGAAGCCCACCTGGCAGAGACGCCCACCTGGCAGATACGCCCACCTGGCAGACACGCCCACCTGGCAGAGACGCCCACCTGGCAGAGAAGCAGGAGCGAAGAACGCCAATGGGGGTCATGGGGTACGTAGTGAGCCGCTCGCTGGTGTCGTGCTGCTGCTGTTGCTGCTGCTGCTGCTGCCGATGATGCCCAAGCTGCCCCTGAGCAAACTCGTGCGCATTCTGAGTCTCCGTCACATCAAGGCCGTCGGACGGACCCTCGCCCTCGGATTGACCTCCAGCTTCGCGCTCGGGAACACCAGAGATCGCGCTCGCTTCTGCGGGTTCTTGAGGCGCCCCAGCGGCAGATGCGCCGCTGCGCGCATGTGACCGTGCGCGCGGGATCAGCTCCGCGCTGCTCTGCTCTGCGCTGCTCTGCTCCGCGCTGCTCTGCTCCGCGCTGCTCTGCATGCGCAGATTGCGCTCCTCCTGCTGCTGCTGCTCTGCAGGAGCTGCGAAATTTGCGCACATGGCACAGCAGCGCGCGAGGTTTGCCCCGCTGCTCTGCACGCGCAGATTGCGCAGCTCCTGCTCGGCGCGAATCCTCCCCCGCCTCTCCGCCAGGCGCTCCTTCCTTTCCTTCTCCACAGCCTGCTCCAGACCCTTAACCTTCTCCTGTAAACCCCTAACCATTCGTTCGAGTTCCACTGCTTTCTCCCTCCATTGCTCCCCGCCTCCACTTGGCCTATGGGTCTCCTCCTCGTCCTCCTCGTCCTCCTCCCGATTCTCCTCCTTTTCCTCGCCCGTCTCGCTTCTCTCCATCCCTTCTTTCTTCTGTTTGAGATCTCGGCACTATCGAGGTCGTCGCCGAACAGAAAACTCGCAGGCGATTGCTGCTAGAACTTTCTGAGGCCTTTGTGGGGACGAAGTAACATTGGCGACGACTCGTCATTGAGTTCCGCGGTACGAAACACGGCTCGCGAAGAAAGCGAAACTAAGGTGATTGCACATGACTCGAACTCTGTACATGGTGTGGTGTGGTGTGGTGTGGACCAACAAACAATGGACTATAGGGACGCAAAGCAAGCTCTGTCACTAAGTCGTTCGATTATAGCATTATCAATTGGCATCTTCAACTTCCTTTTGTCTTGTCAAACAGCACCATTGGATCCGGCTCAACTATATTACAGGTGCCATAAAGAATGAATAAACCGTAAGTACGTAAATCTTAACTCAAGCAGGCCACCCTTGAGAGCCTCTACGCAGTCATTACCCTGCACACCATTGGGGTGACAACGAGCCTTGCTTAACACTTTCCGACACGACTCGCACTTCGCCCTCTCCAACACCTGTTGAACCAGCGCTTACTGACATTATTGCCCTCCCCGCTTCAATTCTAGCACCAGCCACTCCCTGCTTCCTTAACTGGCTTTGCCTCAGGCAAGGCCTCTGCCTCCAGCGCAACCACATCAATGTCGCCAAACACCTCGTCCACATTCGCACGTGCCACCAAGAAGCGGTTACCATGCACACCATTGGGGCGACAACGAGCCTCGCACTTCTCCCGCTCCAACGCCTGCCACACCAGCCATTACTGGCATTATTCCACTACCACCAGCCACTCCCTGCTTCCTGCACTGGCTTTGCCTCAGCGCCTCTGCCTCCAGCGCGTCCAGATCGATGTCGCCAAACACCTCGTCCACATCCCCATAGCCACCACCAGTCACCTGGTGTCCTTGCGAGGGGACACCTGAGGGGACACCTGAGGGAACACCTGAGGGGACGCCTGAGGGGACAGAAAAAGGTGGGGCTGCTGGAGGGCCAGTGGTTGAAGGAATAGGCCCGCATTCAGGCACAGGTCCGCCTATCCCATTGCCACTGCTCGCACTGCCTCCTCCCCTCCCGCACACATCTGCTCCGCCACTCCCCATACCTGCTCCACGGCTCCATCCACCTCCTCCCCCTCCCCTTTTCCCTCTGCTCTCCCACGCCTGGGCTTCCAGCGCGTCCAGGTCTATCCCCTCGAACAGGTCGTCCCCATCCACGTCACATGCACGCTCGCCCTCCTTATTATCACATCTGTATTCACCCTGGGTACTGTCACATGCATGGGGATGGGAATGCTCCATGCCATGGCCGCTCCTGCCCTCTGCCCACCCACTGCCGGCCATCATCCCCTCCCTAGCACCCATTCCGTGCCTCCTGGGCGGCACAGAGTGCGGACTGGGCGGCAGAGAATAATGAGTACCAGCCTGCGTAGCATGCGTTATAGGCACAGAACGTGAGCTGGGTGGCACAGGATGCACTCTGGTTGGCATCGAATGCGCTGCAAATGGCACAGAGCGTGAGATGGGCGGCGCAGAATCTCGTCTGGGCGGCAGGAATCGCATCTTGTTGGCATTGCGGGCGGCGAGACCAAGCGGAGAGGAAGCGAACTGTGGCAGGAGGGAGCGACGAGGGGACGAGGGACTAGGAGTGGGGTGGGACGACATGTTGGGGGAGTGGGGGGAAGAGGTGCTGGGGGCGCTTGGGGGGGAGGTCGGAGAGACTGGGGATGCGGACGAGAGTAGCTGGTTCGCCGGCCTTGAATTCTTGTGCCTTTGACGCCGTGGTGGGGTGCGGTGGTCCACTGGAAGCTGGCTCAACAGAGAGGCGCTGGAGGGGGAACACGGGGGTGTGGGGGGAGGAAGGTGTTGTAAGATGTTCGGTTCTGAGACGCAGAGACGAAACTTCTTATACGCAGTGAGGCGCTGGAGGGGGGAACACGGGGATGTGGGGGGAGGAAGGTGTTGGGGGGGGGGAAGGGGAAGGGAGGGGGGAAGGTAAGAGGAGTGCACGAGGGGAGTGGGGAAGATGAACAGTGGGGAGTGTGAAACAACCCATTTTTGAGGCGCCTAAAAAAATCCATGCGTGAGGAGTCTATTTTTGAGGCGCCTAAAAAATGGAGTGGGGAAGATGAACAGAGGGGGTGTGAAACAACCCACGATAGATGAAGTCACTTGAGAGTGCAGAAGGGGCCACGGGGAAAAGTGGCATAAGCTGCCACCTCACACCGAGTTGTGCCACTTCACACCGTGTTGTGCCACCTCACACCAAGATGTGCCACCTCACGACAAGATGTGCCACCTCACACCAAGATGTGCCACCTCACACCAAGATATGCCACCTCACGCCAAGATGCGCCACCTCATGCCAAGATGCGCCACCTCACGCCAAGATGTGCCACCTCACGCCAAGATGTGCCACCTCACGCCAAGATGTGCCACCTCACGCCAAGATGTGCCACCTCATGCCAAGATGCGCCACCTCACGCCAAGATGTGCCACCTCACGCCAAGATGTGCCACCTCACGCCAAGCTTTCCAGCCCCAACCCACCGCTGAACGTGCTGTATGCAGCTCCCTGTGACCACGCCAGCACCGCCTGGGGTCTCTCTGAGACTCATCTCTTTGTGGATTGGAGAGGGCTCATTGCACTCTCCTGCAGTGGCCCCATCAACTCACTGGTGTTGCCCCGACGACTCACCGGTAAATGTGCTGCATGCTGCTCTCTGTGACCATGCCCGCCCTGCCTGATGCTCCCCGCCTCCCCACTCTACCCTCCCCACCTCCCTCCTCCCCCTCCTCCCCCTCCTCATCATCCTCCACTTCCTCAATCTCATCCCCTTCCTCCTCCCCCTCTTCCCCCTCCCCTTCTTCTTCCTCCTCCACCTCCTCTTCTCCATCTCCCATGTCCCCACTCCCCTCCCCTTCCACCCTGCTGACTATGAAATCCGCCATGTCATCATCCGTCCATGCCACGTCAGCATCCTCCAGGCCTTCCTGTGTGGCATCTCGATCAGACTCCCTGCCACAGAGGATGGCAAGGCAGAGAAGCGGGAATTGTTTCTGAGACGCCTGAAAAATAGACCCTGCCACAGAGAGGATGGCAAGGCAGAGAAGCGGGAATCTTTTATCAAGAAATAAGGGAGAGAAATAGAGAATTTGTGACATGGCTTGAAGAGACGAGGATGCTCCATTGGTTGAATAAGCGACCGCGAATTGCTTCAATCAACAACACTGCACAGTGCCACACCACACAGCGCAGCACCGCACCGCACATCACAGCACCACACGTTACTCACTCGGCCTCCTCGTCAATGAAGTCCAGCACCCTTCGAGCCATCCCCTTGCCTCTCCCCCTCCCACCCCCCTTTCCCCCTCTGCTCTCTCCTCCACCTCTCCCGTCTCTCAGCTCGTTGTCACTGCCATACCCCCTTTCCAGGCACCTCCCTTCGCCACTGCTGTTGCCAGCTTCTCTCTCTCTGCAACCACGATCACTGCCGCCCACCTGCTGCCCTCTCCTGAGCCTCTTAAGGGTTCTCGTTCTTGGAGGATCAGGGGACCTGGGCACCTCCTCCTGTGCACCCTTCGTTACTATCACACCCTTGTCGCCACCACCACCACCATCACCATCACCATCACCACCACCACCACCCTCATCGTCCCCCCCATCCTGTGTCATCACCACCATCTGCCTTCTCCGCTGCCTCCTCCTCCTACCCGCCACATCTCCCCTCCTCTCTGTCTTTCCCAGCACCCTCTCCCCATCACCATCACCATCACCATCGGCAGGTGCTGCTTGCAGCTGTGGTGATGGCTGTGATGGCCGCTTTGACTGCTGCTGCTGCTGCTGATGCTGTCGCTCTGACAGCTGCTGCTGCTGTCGCCCTGACAGCTGCTGCTGCTGCTGTCGCTCTGACTGCTGACGGCAGGGCCTCACAGCCCAAGTAGGCCTGGTGGTACTGCTCGCTACTCTCCTTGCAGCAGAGGAACCATGACTGTTCTGGTTTGGCTCAAGACTTCCCCTTCTCCTCAACGCATCGCCCCGGCCCTCTCCTTCTGTATGCGGCATTCTGCCACACACTGCAGCATCACCAGCGCGTGGCAGCAGCTGATGTTGCTGTGCATCCGCATCGTCTGCTGCTGCCGCTGCCGCTGCTCTTGCCGTTGCTGCTGCTGCTGCTGCCGTTGGTGCTGCTGCTGCTGCTGCTGTTGCCGTTGGTGTTGCCGCTGCTGTGGCCATTGCTGCTGCCGCTGCTCTTGCCGTTGCTGCTGCCGCTGCACTTGCCGTTGCTGCTGCCACTGTAGCCGTTGGTACTGCAGCCGGTGCTGCCGCACGCGCAGGTGGCACTGAGTCTTCTCTCACACCGCTGCCCCTCGGACTCGCAACCATCCCGTTCACGACCCCGTCACTCTCATCCGACAGAGAAATTGGATCCAATGCATCACCTCCTCCTCCTCCTCCTGCGCACCAACTCTTTCGCCTGAGCATTCCGAATTCATCCCCCCTGACACCTCCTCCCTTCCCCATCTGTCTTTGAGCCGCCTTACCCACAACTGCATCACCTCCTGCGCACCAGCTCTTTCGCCTGGAAGGTCCAGGTTCAGGCCCCCTGACACCTCCTTCCTCTCCCCTTTCCCTTGTATCCATCCATCGCATGCCCCCACTTGCGTCAGCTTCCCTGCCTCCATCCGTCTGTGCAGCCATACTCATCCCCACACCCACACTATGGACCTTCCTGGCCATCCCGCCCTGGTCCACAACACCCCGATCCTCACTCTCGTCCCAGCTGTTCCCAGCCACGCCATCTGTTCCCAACACTCCACCTCCCTCCTCTCCCCCAACATACCGCCATATCGTTGGCTCCTCGTACTCATCCAGCCCCACAAACCCATCCTCCTCCCTCTCATACCCATCCCCATCACATCCATCTGCTCCCCTCTCCTCGGCCTTATGACCCTCCAGCTCACCCCGTGCTATCTGGCCTTCTCCCATGGCGCCACCTCCCTCCTCCCCACCAACATACCGCCATATGGTTGGCTCTTCGTAAACATTCAGCCCCACAAACCCATCCTCCTCTCTCTCATCACCCACCATCTCAACACCCACCACCTCATGACCCACCATCTCATGGCCTCCCACCTCATGACCCTCCGACCCTTCCTTGCTCCCCAGCTTTCCCTCACGCACTCCCCTGCCCCTGTTCCTGTCGCTCAGCCCACCACCTTCGTTCTCAGGAGCATCCTCCTCCCCAACATCAGATCGCCCTCCCACACCCGATCGCCCTCCCACATGCAACGTCGGTCCAGTAGCGAATCTCTGCTCCACATCTGATATCCTCCCACGGCCCACACTCAGGCCCACACTCAAGCCCACACTCAAGCCCACACCCAATCTCTGCTCCAGTCCACTTCTTACGTCCCTTCCTGTCGCCGCTACATCCCCAACTGCCCCTTGCAGTATCCTCAGTGCGCCCACCAGCATCCGTTCCGACCTATCCGAATGCGCCACCTGGCACGTCCTCGTTCCCTGCGTCTGCGCCGACAAGAAACCTGTAAGACTAGGCTTCCACCTTGCCACCTCCCATCCACACCCCCCCTCTCCTCTCACACCCCTCACCCCTGCAACCCCACCCTCCCCTCCCCCATACCCCTCTCCGGCAGCATCACCAGGCAGTCTGGCAGACCTGCCAGCTAGCTGGCTGGTAGCCGGCGGGAGGAACTTCAGCAGGGAGGGGTATCTCAACAGAGCGTTTGTTTCAGGAGTCAGCAGTTGGGTCACCGGAAGGGGGGATGCTGCTGCTGAACCGCCCACACTTGCCCTTTTTCCGCGGCCTTTCTTGGCAGAGGGTGCGAGGGAGGACGGGGAGGAGGCGGGGCGGCGCCGTTTGGAGTGAGGCGGGCTGAAGGCAGGCGGTTGGATGTTGACGATGGTGACAGTGGGCTTGGGGATGCGATGCGGTAGCTGATGGGGGTGGGGAGGGCAGGAGGGGTTGGGAGGGCCCGAGGGGTTGGCGGGGAAGGGGGGCGAGGGCAAAGGGGATTGGGGGGAAGGGCATGACTGACAGGGTAGGGGAGGGGAAGAGGGGGTGGGTGAGTGGAAAAGGAGGATAAGAGTGAGAAAGTGAGTGTAGAATGGGAGGCGACGGGGAGTGAAGGCGGGAGGCTGGATGTTGACGATGGGGACAGTGGGCTTGGGGATGCGATGGGGCAGCTGGCAGGTTTAAGCAAAACGGATGGGGGAGGGGGGAAAGGGTATAAAGGAGAGGAAGTGAGAGAAGAATGGGAGGCGAGGGGGAGTGAACGTGGGTGGCTTGGGGGATGCGATGGGACAGCTGAGGGGGATGGGGAGGGGCACGAAAGGTCGCGGGGAGTAAGACGGCGAGATGGAGGATAGCAGGAACAGTTTTGAGGCGCCTCAAAACTCGATCATGGCTAACGACACTGGGAAGATACCAGGGAAAGAAGTCGGATATGGCAGAGATGACCCAACAGCACGTGAAACAGAAAGAGATGGTACTTGCCGCACGCCTCATGCCCCATGGCACATGACACATGACGCATTCAACACTAGCCCAACAGCGGAGCACCCGATGGCACACACGCCATGGCACATGGCACAAGGCACGCAACGCAGAACGCACCATCCGCAGGCTCTCATGAAAGCGCAGCACCCCTGACGTGTGCGCGTTGCGAAGGTTCCTGGAAAGAGCCCGATTGGCCTTGCGCTTGGCGTTGAACCTCTCGATCTCCCACCCCTCGGTGGCTAGAACCAGTGGTCGGATGAAAAATGCAATAAAAAAGCGCAATCAAACGAAAAAGGAGGGGACGCCGGGACGGCAACAGAGCACAGGCAAAGGAGCGAGAGCGCAATTGGGGCGTGGGAGGGGAGGGGGAGAAGAGGGGCGGAGGGGAGGACGGGAGGAGGGAAGGAAGGGAGGAGGGGAGGAGGGAGGAGGGGAGGAGGGGAGGAGGGGAGGAGAGGAGGCGGGGAGGAGGGGAGGAGGGGAGGAGGGAGGGAAGGAGAAAGAAGGCAAAGAAGGGGCGCAGAACGGAGGGCGGAAGTCAAAGAAACCAGACAGGCGCTTGCGATGGGGGTCGGGGTGCGAATAATAAAGCGTTGTGGACGAGAGCGGTGCGAGGCACAGAGCAAGCGGAACGAGCATATAACAAAGGTTACTGGTAAGACGGTCGTGAGGCATGGGTGTGGTGCTGGTGAGGAGTGGTGCGGCAGGGTTGAAGAGTAGTGAGGCAAGGTGAGGAGTGGTGGAGCGGGGAAGAGCGGTGAGGAGGATATCCACTTTGCCATCTCGGCTGCGACCAGTGCGCCCCATTCGCTGAGTCATGCGCAGCACAGAGACGGCGTCGAAGCACACCACCAGGTCGACCTGATGGGCAAAGGGAGACGCAAAGGCGTGAATGGGCCAAAGAGATCAAAAGCACAGACGTCGAAGCACACCACCAGGTCGACCTGATCGTGGAGGGATGGGTGATCTTTAGTGATGGCATGAGTGGGATATTGAGGGGATTTGAGGGGTCTCGGAGCAGCACGGAGACGGCGTCCCAATGCACCACCAGGTTGACCTGATGGGGGTGGTGGGATGGGTGATGGGAGCCACAAATCCGACATTTGAGAATTCTCTCAAATGGTGTAGCCTTGTAGGTGATCTCTGAGAATTCACAGATGCTGTAGGTGATTTTTGAGAATTCTGAAAAAATCGCCAGCATGTATGTGGAGGGATGGGTGATGATGGGAGGCACACATGCGACTTTGAGGCGATTTGAGGGGTCTTGGTGGAGCACAGGGACCGCGTCCAAACACACCACCACGTCGACCTGATGGTTACACGGAAGGGGCGATGGGAGGTGGAGGCATGAGAGTGGGGCCATGGGAGTGGGGCATGGGAGTGGGGCATGGGAGTGGGGCATGGGAGTGGGGCATGGGAGTGGGGGCATGGGAGTGGGGGCATGGATGTGATTGTGAGGTGTTTTGAGGGGTGACATGGAGAAGGGAATAAGTGGCATGGCAGGAAAGCCTATGGGAACAAGTAGGCACCCCACCCACATCTCACCTGCGATATGTCCAGCCCACCTGCGACATGTCCACCCCACCTGCGATATGTCCAGCCCCTCCTCCCCAATGGTTGTGGATACGAGCACGTTGTACGTCCCTGCCTTGAAGCCCTGATGGGAGCGAAACGATAGGCAGAGGCAGAGGCAGAGGCAGAGGCAGAGAGGGAGCATGGAGCAGCATTCTATATGCACCAGAGAACAATACAAAAGAAAGCCATCACAGTCAGGGTTCCTGACTCACAAAAAGCAAATCTCTTTCAGCTAGAAGAATGAAGGAACATGTTAAGGTGCGGAGAAAATAAAATACGTGAGAATTCCTATCCTAGCCTTCGGACTTACATCCAGCACTGCCTGCTGCTGCTTCTGTGACTGACCCATCAACCGCTTCCTCACTCCCAAATCACCCTCCTCCCCTTCATCTTCCTCCCCCTCGTGTTCCTCCTCTTGTTCCTCATCCCCACTCCCCTCTCCCCCATCCCCCCCCTCAACCTCCCTCCCTCCCTCCGCATCCTCCTCCCCGTGTGCTCCCATCAACACACCACCACCATCACTGCCCCTCACTCCCCCTATTATTCCCCCTCCACCCCCCCCCCTCCCTCGTCCTCTTGCACTCAAATCACTCCTAGCTGATCCTCCCCCTACCCCTCTCCCTCGCCCTCCCCCTCTTCCCACACCTCGTCCCCCCCCTCCTCCTCCTCCTCTTCCTCCCCCTCTTCCTCCGCCACTTCCTCCCCTTCTCCCTCCCCCTACCCCTCCTCCTCGCCCTTCTTCAATTCTTGGGAGCCCCCTGGCAATCACCCCTTGGGACGCCTTGGGCCGTTTCCTCTGGGGCGCGTCCACCCCTGTACAATTGCAACGCAAAGGCGGAAGTATTGTGCGCATACATTGCTGATATATTGCTGCTATATTGCTGCTATATTGCTGCTATATTGCTGCTATATTGCTGCTATATTGCTGCTATATTGCTGCTATATTGCTGCTATATTGCTGCTATATTTCTGCTATATTGCTGCTATATTGCTGATATATTGCTGCTATATTGCTGCTATATTGCTGCTATATTGCTGCTATATTGCTGCTATATTGCTGCTATATTTCTGCTATATTGCTGCTATATTGCCGAAGCGGATACATTGCTGCTACATTGCTTGTAGTGGACATATTGCTGATAAATTGCTTGTAGGGGATATATTGCTGCTATATTGCTTGTAGCGGATACGTTGCTGCTATGTTGCTTTTAGCGGATAAATTGCTGCCACAAGCTTTTTGAGCTTTGAGATGTCTCAAAACTCGAAGTCTGATAGGCTGCTACAGGCCTTTGAGATGCAGCCCACTGGATGATGTATGGGGGTGTATGCTTAACTGATGGGTAGAGGAGATCATACCTGCGCTCTGCCCAATGAACTGCTTCACTCTCAGCATCGGCTCGTGCTGGGATAGACACTCCACGATCTCCCTGCAACTCACATACAACGTTTACACAAGTCCAGGCACGAACACGAGGTGACTTTTGAGTCGACTCATATGTCACCTTGGGATAGGCACTCCACAATCTCCCTGCAGCCAACCCACGCACAACGTTTATATAAAGCCAAATGCGAACCAACACACAGCACGCAAGTGGTCAGCTACTTGTACTGCAGCCCGTCAATGCCACGGCCAATCGCTGCACACAATTGCCACCTACACTGCTACAGTCACTGCACGATAGAATCACTCATAAAAAAAAACCACTGCTACTCTTTGCCGAATGTTGTCAGCCACTGCAAGATATACTCACTCTCAGGCTCAGCAAGTCACCCACTAAAAAGGCCACTCACTGCACACTGTCTCTGAAGGTGGAGAAAATGATTGCTCTGGTGTCAGCTGCGCTGCACTGCTGAGCTGCAAAGGGGAGAGATAAGAGAGAGAGAAAGCCGCAAACGAGACACAACTTATGTACTGGAGAGGCTCCAGGAATCATCAACGGAGGACTCCAGTGATGCTCTGGAGGAGAGAGCATTGTCGCGCAGACGAGGCGGGAATCCGTCCCCATCGCTCAGATCCCGCGGACAAGGACCTGTGGGCACACAGCCGCTGGACTCTCCCGCCCAGGCTGCCAGAGGGAGTGCGCGGAATACGCGTACCCCCCGCGCCAGTATTACGCCAGCGACCCCGAACCTAAGGCAGTTCTCGCCACAGGAGTTGTCGTCCAACGAATCGTTGTTCGCCGGGGTGGCGGGATGGGATATCGACCTGCTGTGCGACAGTCGCCAACCCCCGATTTCCCGCAGAATCCCCCCCAAACTTCGTCAGCTCTCCGCCCTGGCACTTCTGACACCCCTGCTTCATATCGCACACAGGCCAACCAGCCTCGAAGGTTGGCGCCTGTTACTTTTCGTCCCTCGCCTAACCCTTCGCCTGCACTCGCCCAAGCACCCTGACTGGGCCGCAGTGGAAAAACGACTGCAGCAGTTCCTCGCGGGCGAATGGCATTTGCTGTACCTGTCAGCAATCGACGCTGTGCATAACCCCCCCGCACCTCGCCACGCGGCAGACTCCATCGGCAGGCAAAAGCGAGCAGAGGGGCTTGTCCGCCGTGGCAGTCTCCGACGTGCCCTGCTGGCACTGGACTCGACCCCGGTCAGCGATTCAACCGCCGACGTCCTCGAGGCGCTGAAGTCCAAGCACCCCGCCCCGTTGACAGAGTCAATCGCCTGGCCCATCCTTGACGAGTCCGAGGCGGGTCCCTCGTTTTTGCAGGATGAGTTCATTCGCTTGCTGAGTCGCTACGAAAACGGAGTGGGTGCAGGGCCTTCGGGAATGTGCTTCGAGCACATTCGCGAAGCTGCCCTCGCTAACAATTCAGTCGCTGGCAAATTGCATGAGCTTGCACTACGCTTGCCCAAAGGGGATTCCACCGCCGAAATCGCCGCCCTACTCACCGCCAGCCGCCTCATAGCATTTCCCAAGCCAGGAGGCGGCACGCGACCCATCGCCATAGGCGAATGCCTGCACCGCCTCGTGGCGAAGGCGGGCCTTCTCACCATGATGGCACAAGCGCATACTCATTTCCTCCCGCTGCAGTTCGGGAGGGTAGCAGTACGTGCGGGTGGCGAGGCGATCATCCATGGAGCCCGCGCATACACATCCGAATTTCCGACCGCCCTCGTACTCCAGGTGGACGTGTCGAATGCCTTCAACAGCGTCGACAGAGCCGCGATAGTGGCGGGCCTCTACAACTCGCCCCTCCGGCCGCTTCTCCCCTTCGTCAAACTCTCCTACGGAGCACCGTCGCGCCTCTACCTAGACGCCGGATTCGGCAGTGAACCCCTCCTTAGTGCCCGGGGTGTTCGTCAAGGGGACCCCATGGGCCCCCTGCTCTTCGCGGCGGCTCTTCACCCGGCACTCCAGGCGACAGCCTCGGCTTTTCCTAGCGTGCTCTGCCTCGCATACGCCGACGACATCACGCTGCTCGGAGAGCCGTCGGAATGCGCGTTGGCGTTCACACATCTCACCGAGGCCCTACGCCCCTTGGGACTCGCGCACAACCCTTCCAAGTGCGCGGCGTGGTCGGCTTCCCAGCCCCCCAGCCCCATTCTCCCCCCGGGCATCCCCTTCCGCGCTGACGGTCTGTGCGTCCTCGGGAGCCATCTCGGCCCTACTGAAGCCACAGCCGCCTTCCTTCGGGAGCAGCTGGCTGACATGGCCAAACCGCTACCTGCCCTCGCGACCATGGACCCCAAGGCCGCGGGCCTTCTCCTCCACCGCTGCGTCTCACGACGTGCCTCCTACCTCACCTGCACCACCCCCCTTGACTCGCTGCCGACCGAGGAATGGTCCAACTGGGGCCAGGAGCTCTTCCATACCCTCCTCCTCTCGTGCAACCTTCGGCTCCCACGGGGTGAACAGGAGCGGTTGCGCACGTGGCAACAGGCCTCTCTGCTCCCCACTCTTGGCGGCCTCGGCCTCGCGGACCCCGCAGTAGAGGGCCCGCACGCCTTCCTCACTAGCGTCACACAGGCCCACCGGCTGCTCATTTCCCTTCCTTCGGACCCGACTGGCCCACTCGCTGCAGCGGAATGCTCCCTGGCCCCTCCCTTCATCGGCCCTCTCGTCTCCATACCTGGCTGGCGAAATGCGAGTCGGCCCTCCCAGCTCCAGCCTTGGCGCTCCTGCAGGCCGAGCGGGCTGAACCCTCAGACGAACCTCTCCAGCACCGATTGGCCCTGGAGGTACACGCAGCCCGCTTCGCCAGTCAATTGGCTGCGTCAAGGGAGATGGACCCCAACCCCCTTAGCGGCCACACCCAGCGGCTTCTCTCCCTCACTGGGTACGGCGCCGGCGACTGGCTCCTCGCCATCCCCCTTTTCCCATCTCTTCGGTTGGCGCCGCCTCACTATGCCATCGCCCTGGCGTTCCGTATGGGCCTCCCTTTCCCGGCACCCAGGGTCTGCAACTGCGCCCAACAGGTAGTGATCGTAGACCCCCGCCTACCAAACCACCTCTTCCGTTGTGGGACGGGACACGGCCGCACCGACACCCAGAACGCCCTCCGAGATGAGTGCGTCCGCATGGGGCGAGACGCACAGCTTATCGTCACGAAAGAAACAGCGATCTACAACCCTGTCGATGGCAAGACCGCCGACCTGGCCGTTCGTGACCGGGACTCGGGGGCGGTTTGGATCTGTGATGTCACCGTCACCGACCCAGTCAGCTCCCGGGACCCGCTAGCGCGTAAGGGCCGCGGATACATGGCCCGGGAGCAGGCGGACAAAAAGATCGACGAATACCGCCACCGGGCAGCATACGTCGGTTTCTTCCCACTCGCGGTCGAGATGTATGGCTGCCCATGCGCCGAGGTGCCAACCTTCCTTAAACTCCTGGCACACACGGCCGCCCGCCGCCTTTGCAACGCCGACCCCAGCTCCTACCAGGCGGCAAAACTGCTAAGCCAGTTCCGCCAGCGCTGGTCCGTCACCCTCCAGAGGGGACAAGCCCTCACCTACCTCGGGAAAGTGAATGAGGCTTCGCCACTCGAGTGGCCACCCTCGGTGCGCCTGACGCGGGCATGTCCCTAGGGGACTGCTTCGCTATCATAGAGCACCCTAGGGAATAGCCATAGGCTAGAAGCTCGGCCAGCAGTATCATACTTGCATGTACCCACCTTATTTGCCTCGCTTGTACCCAGGATTTCCCAGCAATGAAGGACCATTCGAGAAAGCCGCAAAGTTCGGGGGGGGGGGGGGGGGGGGGGGGGGAAGGGGGGGTTAATGGCCCTGGTGTCAGCTCCGCGCTGCTGCTGCTGCTGCTGAGGGCACATAATTTGTAACAAGAGGGAGGAGGGGAATGGGGTAAGGACACCAGATGAGGAGAAAGGGAAGGGGCAGGGGGTGTGGTGTGGAGAAGATACGAGCAAGGGATGTATGTAGTCAAACGGATAGAGCCACGCGATAGAGGCAAGCGATAGAGGCACGCGATAGAGGAGAATTGATAAACTACCACGCTCATCCTACAAAGCGTGCACCACCACCGCTATGCTCACCATCACTAAAGTGTTGCAGCAGGTGCTCAAGCTCCACCAGCTTGGGCGAGACAGCAGCAGCAGCAGGAGGACCTTAAAGCACCTCGTTCTTTTCCTTTCACCACGTTTACCTCAACCACCCCACCATCAAGCTCACCATCACCAAAGTGTTGCAGCAACAGCTTCTCCAGCTCCACCAGCTTGGGCGAGACGGCAGCAGCAGAGGCAGAAGCAGAAGCGGACATCACTCCATTGACTTCACTTCTTACCTCTCACTTCTTTTGCCTCACCCACCCATCAACGTGCTCACCATTACCGAAGTGTTGCAGCAGCAGCTTCTCCAGCTCCACCAGCTGGGGCGAGACAGCAGCCGCAGAGGCGGACACAGAAGAACACTCCCTTGCGGTCTGCTGACGGCTTTTGCCTCACCACCACCATGCTCACCATTCCTGATGCTCACCATTCCTGATGCTCACCATTCCTGATGCTCACCATTCCTGATGCTCACCATTCCTGATGCTCACCATTCCTGATGCTCACCATTCCTGATGCTCACCATTCCTGATGCTCACCACTACCAAAGTGTTGCAGCAGCAGCTTCTCCAGCTCCACCAGCTTGGGCGAGACGGCAGCAGCAGAGGCGGACATGGGAGCAGAAGCGGAGGACGAAGCACCGCCCTGCTTCCCCTTGGCCGCCTTCCCCCCCCCACTCCCACAGTGCGCCGCATGATGGTCAGCGCCCTCTGCATGCCCTGCTCCCGCAGCGTGGCTGCCAGGGCCCTGGCGGGGACAGAGGGAGGAGCACGTGAGGGGAGGAATGGATGAAAGTGAGGGACGCGAGAGAAAGGGCTGCCGCATGATGGCCAGCGCCCTCTGCCTGCCCTGCTCCCTCAGCACTGCCGCTAGGGACCTAGGAATGGGAGGCTAGTCGTGCACGGAGAGAGTACAGGGAAGCAAGAAGGCACAGGGAGTGAGAGAAGGGAGTGAGAAAAATGCTGAATGATGGCCAGCGCCCTCTGCGTGCACTGCTCCCTCAGCACTGCCGCTAGGGCTCTGAGGGGGGCGGGAGAGGGAGGAGGGCGCGAGGGGGGGACACGAGCAGAGAGCGCGAGGGTACGGAGGAGGGACGGTGTAGACAGGCCACAGGAGTGAGACGTAGAGGTGAAAGGATCCCGTATGAAGGTGAGCGCCCTCCGTATGCCCTGCTCCCTGCCGCTAGGGCCCTGAGGGGGGGGCGACGAGGGACAGGGGAGGGAGTAGGGCGAAGGGAAGACAGGAAAGAGCGAATGAGCGACTGTTTGTGCAAACCCTGCTCTACCAGGTCTGCTGCTACGGCCCTGAGAGGGGTCTATTTTTAGACGCCTAAACAATGAATCCCTGCTCTTTCAGGTCTGCTGCTACGGCCCTGAGAGGGTTGGGCGGAAGGAAGGGAGGAAGGAAGGATGGAAGACGCGAGGGAGGAGAAAAACGAGATGGGGGGAGTCAAGAAGGAAAGGAAGGCAGGGGGGGACACAGGAGTTTATTGTGGAGACTTCTCAAATCTAAAGTATTGATGATACTAAAATAAATCACAGGAAGAAAGGATGGAAATTGAGATCGGGGGAATCAAGAAGGGAACAAGTTCATATCCTCATGTGCTCCTTTCAATCAAGTTCATATCCTCATGTGCTCCTTTCAATCAAGTTCATATCCTCACGTGCTCCTTTCAATCAAGTTCATATCCTCATGTGCTCCTTTCAATCAAGTTCATATCCTCATGTGCTCCTTTCAATCAAGTTCATATCCTCATGTGCTCCTTTCAATCAAGTTCATATCCTCATGTGCTCCTTTCAATCAAGTTCATATCCTCACGTGCTCCTTTCAATCAAGTGAATATCCTCACAAGTTCAAATCCTCTCCTCCTTTTGACCACATGGACACCAGAGCGCATGCCATGCGACATGAGTCTCGCCAGCACAGCCCCCAAGCCCAAGGCGCCCGCCCTTGCCCACCACACTTGACAAACTCACACTTGATCATACTTTTCAAACGCTACTCTTCTCACCTGCTCCTTTCAATCACATGGAGCGCCGAGCGCATGCCATGCGACATGAGTCTCTCCAGCACAGCCCCCACCGCCTCCGCCCTCGCCCACCACATCTGCCCCGCCATCTCCCTGCCGCCCATGGGCTCTCCCCCGAACCCCCGTGCTGCCGCTTCCTGCTGCCGGGCCCTCTCCCGCTGCTCCTGGATCATGCGCAGCTGGTGGGAGGACACCATCTGGGGGAGAGAGAGGCAGGGGGGTAGGCGAAAATGAAATGTTGAGGCGCTTAGAGTAAAGCCGTGGTGCCGCCTCCTGCTGCCAGCTCCTCTCACGCTGCTCCTGGATCATCTGGAGCTGGTGGGAGGACACCATCTGGGGGAGAGAGAGGCAGGGGGGTAGGCGAAAATGAAATGTTGAGGCGCTTAGAGTAAAGCCGTGGTGCTGCCTCCTGCTGCCAGCTCCTCTCACGCTGCTCCTGGATCATCTGGAGCTGGTGGGAGGATACCATCTGGGGGAGAGAAAGGCAGGGGAAAAGGGTTCAGAGTGAAAGGATTCGAGGCGAGTTAAACTATTCCTCTCACGCTGCTCCTGGATCATGCACAGCCGGTGGGACGACACCATCTGGGGGAGAGTGAGGCAGGGGGGGGGAGAGAGAGGCAGGGGGGCGGAGAGAGAGGCAGGTGGGGGGAGAGAGAGGCAGGTGGGGGGGAGAGAGAGGCAGGTGGGTAGGAGAGAGAGGCAGGGGGGGGGAGAGAGAGGCAGGGGGGGGAAGAGAGAGGCAGGGGGGGGGAGAGAGAGGCAGGGGGGGGGAGAGAGAGGCAGGGGGGGGGGAGAGAGAGGCAGGGGGTAGGAGAGAATTCGAGGTGCTTAGAGTAAAGCTGTGCTGATGCCTCCTGCTGCCGGCTCCTCTTCCACTGCTCCTAGATCATGCGCAGCTGGTGGGACGACACCATCTGGCAGGACAAAAGTAGGGGGGGGGGGGGGGGGGGGGGGGGGGTGTTAGAGAGGAGAAAAGGAGATATTGAGGTGCTCAGGGTCATCCCCGGCGGCTGTATTTTGAGTCGACTCAAAATGCTCAGGCTGCTGCTCAGGGTCGTGTCATCCCCGGCGGCTGCCTGCTGCTGCTCAGGAGGCATCAGCACAGCTGCTGCCTCCTCCCCTGACTGCTCCTAGAGCATGCGCAGCTGGTGGGGGGATACCATCTGGCGGAGAGAGAGAGGGGGGCAGGGGAGGAGGGGGAGGAAAAAGGCGATCCTGCTGAGGTGCTCCTTTCCCGTTGCTCCTGGATCATGCGCAGCTGGTGGGGGGATACCATCTGGCGGAGAGAGAGGCAGGGGAAAGGGACAGGGCGGGCAAATCTTTCAGCAGACCGGGCGGGAGGACACAAGGGTGGGAGACACGGCACCCAGGCGGTTGACGGCTTCAGGTCAAGGCACCTCCTCTGCTGTGCTCCGCCAGCAGCAGCAGCAGCAGCAGGTGACAGACCTATCAGTGGACTGCAGAAGCCACCACATGAGCTCACCTTGTTCGAAGACACGAGGGCCGAGGACACCGCGCCCAGGCGGTTGAGGGCTTCAAGACACTTCCTCTGCTCTGCTAGCAGCAGCTTCTCCACTTCCGCCACCGCTGTGTGCATCCGCACCTTGGGGGGAGGAAGAGTTGAGGGGGGGGGGTTCGAGGAAGGGATTAAGAGACAGTGGGGGGTAGATAGATGGGTGGGAAGGGAACAAACCTCCTCTGCTCCGCCAGCAGCAGCTTCTCCACCTCCGCCACTGCAGTGTGCATTCGCACCTTGGGGGGAGGAGAAGTCGGTGGGGATAGCGGTGGGGGAGATGAACACACGTGGCGGCCAGATGGATGGGAACAAACCTGTTTTGTTCAGCCAGCAGCAGCTTCTCCACCTCTACCTCGAGCACGAGCTCCTTCCTGTCGTGCATGTACTTGGCAACAGCAGCGAACAGCAGCGAGCGAACAGAAGGGAGGGTCATGTCGTCCTCTCCCCAACCCCAATGCCCCATGCACGATATACCCTCATGCCTTAGAGTACCAATGGCAGCACAGAACACCTTGAGCACGTGCTCCTCTCGGTTGTGCATGTACTTAGCAACATCCAGGTCATGTCGTCCTCTCCCCAATACTCTACGTGCGATGTACCCACATGCCTAAGAATGCCAAGCGCATGCAGCATACCTTGAGCACGTGTTCCTCTCGGTTGTGCATGTACTTGGCGACATCAGGGTCGTCGTCCCCCCGGTACTCTATGCGTGATATCCCGAGCTTGTCCACCACCTCCTGCACCTTGGGCAGCTTGGCTGGCGGGCACACAAGAGAGGGTGATAGAGCACAAGTATGAAATGGTATGAGGGAGGAATGAAGCAGTGGGAATACTCTATGCTGGATATCCTGGGCTTCTCCACCACCTCCTGCACCTTGGGCAGCTTGGCTGGCAGGCAGGCACAGGGAAGGGAGTGACGGACGATAGATTTTCGAGTCAACAGAAAGGCGCCGCCACCCCAATACTCTATGTGCGATATGCCGAGCTGGTCAACCACCTCCTGCACCTTGGACAGCTTGGCTGGCGGCAGGGAGGCGAGCAAGGGGAGAATAGTAGATCGAGAGGCGAGCATGCCTTTGAGTGCCCCGCATAAGTCTTTGAGGGGCACTCAAAGGCATGCTCTCGGCATGCTCTCACGTGCTCATGCACGATAGATATGTGCCGCAGCTTGTGAACCTTGGGCAGCTTCGCTGGTGGCAATGAAAGAAGCAGATAGAAGTGCAGGTGGTGCCAATTTCGGTGGAGGCTTAGTGCTAGGGAGGAATGGCCCGTGTAGGTGGGGAAGGGAAGTGAGGTGAGGAGATATGGGATAGCGATACAAAGCAATAGGTACAGTAAAGAGTGAACAACTCAGACACGCCTGGAGATGTGGGTAAGAGGACAGAGTGCAGGCAATGAGAGAGGTACGACAGTACGAGTGCATGAGGAACATACATCCAGGCGTGGCGGTCAGAGCAAGAACACGAAAGGCGACACCCGCTTTATTGAGCTGCCATGAGGGGGAGACAGCAGGAGAGGCAGGCACAGGGAGCAAGGCCGGCAGTGGAAGTAAGGAAGGGACGCTGAGCCATGCAGTCCCAAAGAAGGGACACATGAGAGACAATGAAATGCATGTAGGGGGTATTGATGCGCACGACCAAACAAGTATGCTAGACATCTCCATCCACCCATCCATCCCACCACACCCCCCCCCCTTCCTTCACCCTCCGTGCATAGGCATAGTTGCCTGTGTCCCAATGGGCTTTAAGCTTTGTGCTTCACAAGTCACCTGGACTTGACACACACACCCCTTAGCTCACCTCCTCCACCACCCGTGCATAGGCATAGTTGCCCGTGGCCCGATGGGCTTCGTCCACCACCAGGCACACGATGGACTCCCGCGGACAGGCGCCTGAGAGCAAGCCGAGCACATGAGTGGGAAAGTTCTTTACGGGTGAGATGTGCTTGAGCAGTCAAGGTCTTTGATAGTGATGCGTTTTGTCCACCAGCAGGCACACGATGGACTCTCGCGGACAGGCGCCTGAGAGCAATCAGGCGGTGTGAGACAGAGCAAGCAGATGGTGTAAGACAGAGCATCTAGGGACTTCATTTCTGAGGCGCCTCACAAATGGACTCACGGGGACAGGCACCTGAGAGCAAGCAGCGGGTGTAGGACAGAGCATCATGGGAATTCATACATCTCAGAACATGCTGTGCTTCATAGGAACCGGCAAAGCCTACTTTTGAGGCGCCTCAAAAACAGGCGCCCTGAGAGCAAGCAGCGGGTGTAGGACAGAGCATCATGGGAATCCATACATCTCAGAACATGCTGTGCTTGATAGGAACCGACAAGCCTGCTGTGCCTCATGGCCCTTGCATCATTACCGCACTGCACCATGTCTGATGCACGCACTACCTAGCAGCAACCGCTCTCCACCGCCACTCACCCCACTGCACCATATCCTGCAGCAGCACCTGCCCCGTCACAAAGAACACGCGCCTCTCCCTCCAGTGCTGCGCGCGCTGCTCCCGAGCCATCTGGCCTGTCATGTGCATCGTGTGCTCCTGGACAGGGGGAGACACAAAGGGGGAGCAAGGAGTAAGGGACTCAAAGGATGGGGTGAAATAGGTTTGCGGAAAAACGAGTGGGAGGAAATAGGTGGTGCAAAACGAGAAAGTTCAAGTTGCCTGAGGCACCACAGGCAGAGCACACACTGGCTTGCCTTTGAGCCTGGCCAGTTACCATGCATCACTCGCTCCTGTGTGTGAAAAAAACGGATGGCAGGGGGACGGCACGTCGAATTCCCGACAACTTATTTGACTCACCTTCGAGGTGGAATTGATTTGCATATTAAAAATAACAAGAAAAAGGCATGTATTACCTGTGGGATGGCCACGACGTTGTGGCATGCTCGGATCTGCTGCAGCACGAGAGGGCGTGTAGGAGCCATGAACACGATCTTGCCTGATGCATGCAGCCGCGCGTAACACACATTGTAACACACATTGAAACACGCACAGACGCACGTAGAAGCAGACAATCGCAAGCACAAGGTAGGATAGCAATGAGGGGAAATGAGAACAGCAGCAATGAGGGGAAATGAGAACAGCAGCAATGAGGGGAAATGAGAACAGCAGCTATGAGGGGAAATGAGAACAGCAGCAATGAGGGGAAATGAGAACAGCAGCAATGAGGGGAAACGAGAACAGCAGCAATGAGGGGAATGATTGCTGTGAATCAGAGCTGAAGTGATATGACTGACCATGGGGGAACCAGCGGTAGTAGTTGACCATGGCAACGGCGGCAATGAGCGTTTTCCCCACGCCCGTGGGAAGGCACACGAGGGTGTTGGCGAAGAGAGCTGCCTCCGCGATTTCGTACTGGTACTGGCGAAGCTCGCGATTGGCTGCGAGTGAGAGAAGAGAAACGTATGGATCCGCAGAAGGGGGAGAAGGAAACTGCTGGCGGTACTTTTTCTCCAATAATGCCTTTTCCCCAAAACGACGCTAATCAGGGGTAGTAACATACGGTACTTGAGTAGTATTCAAGTATACTAAGGAGGCCCGTATGTTTCCCAACCGCCTACCCCGTCAGCAGCTTACACGGATAAATCCACGTGGCGGCTGCTCGTTCGTCCACGCAATGACTCGATCCCCTCTGAGCCACAGAGTCCATGTCAGCAGTCTCAAAACGCTTATCCCCATCTTCGTCACCGAAAGCGTGACATTCTCCTTGACTTCCTCTCCCAGTGCCATGTCTTCCGGCGAAAACCCTAGAAGTTGCTTCTGGGCGATGAGCATAAGACAGGTCCGCGTCATCGTGGCCCATAGGGGATCGAGTCACGTTTCGAGAAGCTCCTGCGCCATGGGGATAAGATAGACCAGCGCTGTTGTGGTTCTGAGGGAATGGCGTCATAGTTGAATCGTACGGAGGATCATGTGGCACTGGCTTTTGTTTGAGTCGACTCGAAAGTGGATCCTCTCCCAATGGCAGGATCCTGTACCGGGATGATACTGGCTACTACTAGTAGTACTCGCGTCGTTTCCTGCGGTCACCCATGAAGGGTCGTCGTCACCCATGTGCCTCACGAATTAAACCGAACGGTCTGCATAGGCAAACGGAATCCTAACAGGTCTTCGCGGGCTTTTCGCAAATACGTCCTTTTAGTCTTCATGATAAAATACCGCGGATTCTGCTTCGCTCAGGGGGTATTGCTACCTGTTCGCCGAAGCATCTGCGATTCCCCTGTTCACGCCGCACTGGGAATGCCCTTGGCGTCAGACTGACGCTCAAACGCACCTTGGGAACAGGCCTCTCGCTAAGCCCCAGGGTATTCCGGAAGGGGACGGAATCGCCTCAGGATTACCCGTTAACAAACGGAATTCCCCCAAAAAAACCCGTTACCGAAAGGAATCGGCCGCTACAAATTCGGCTAGCAAGTGATCAAAGGCAGGATTGGGGTGGTGGGGGTGTGCGGTCGTTACCCTCTACAGATTTCGCTACGACAAGTGAAGCCCGTACGGATTCGAAGAAAAGTTACTCGTTAGGCCAAGGAATCGCGCGAAATTGTTTCCGTAAGTTGGAGGGGTGTAACGGGTGATCAATTTAGCTGTACAATTTAGCTAGCCACATTCGTTACTTCCAGATTTATGTTTAGATAGATTGATTACATATCAAGCATCAGGTCTACGTATCATAGCGTAGTGGCCAGTAAATCCAAAGCATCCTTTTGAGACAACGTTCAAACACGGTATCAGCAACAATTACAGTATCAAGGCAACCCAATAATCCAACAGGTACAATCTTCTTGGCAACGGAAGGCCAACCTTATAGAGCCATCCTCTTTCACTCAAACACAAATAGACAATGCACCCAACCCAACACACCGTATGTCTGTTGTTTCAAAGCTCAAAGCTTGGCGGCAAGAAGCAGCCACAATGGTGTCACTTGGTGCAGACTTCCCCATATGGTGGCCTAGCACCTCTGATGTGGGATGTGATGTGACAGCTGGAGAAGCATTTTGTTGACTTCATATGCTGCCACTCGTCATCTCGCAAACCCTGCACTGTTGTCATCTCAACTTCGTTGACGCATGCTTGGATATTGTCACATGGTGTGCACGGCTGCATGGCTGCATGGCTGCGCACGTCGCCTCATCTTCTCATGCGCATAGCTGCAAGCCCGTCTGTGGTACGTGCGCCAAGCACTTGCACAGAATCGCCCAGAATCTCCAGAACCTGCGTGCAGGCACATATTTGACCCGCGGGGGGGTGGGGGGGGGAAGTGAGCGCAGTGCAGGGAAAGTGAGCTCAGGGAAGTGAGCGCAGGGAAGTGAGCTCAGGGAAGTGAGCTCACCTCAGGGAAGAAAGCTCAGGGAAGTGAGCTCAGGGAAGTGAGCTCAAGGAAGTGAGCTCACCTCAGGTAAATGAGCTCAGAGAAGTGAGCTCACCTCAGGGAAGTGAGCTCAAAGGAGTCAACTCAGGGAAGAAAGCTCAGGGAAGTGAGCTCAGGGAAGTGAGTTCACCTCAGGGAAGTGAGCTCAGGGAAGTGATCTCAGGGGAGTGACACCCGTGCACACCATGTGACAATATCCAAGCATATTGTCACATGGGAGGAAAAGTGGGACTTCTAAAAGGAGGCATTTAACAAGTGGGAAGCATTTTAGACATGTTTTTCTTCGCTCTTTCAGTGGATGAGGGAGAGGACTCAGGGATCAGGATGAAGACGACGGAGAGAAGGGGGGAAGGGAGGGGGAGGGGGGAAAGGGGGAAGGGGGAAGGGAAGGGGAGGGGAGTGGGAGGGGGGGACATTGGGAAAGATATCGGTGTGAAGATGCAGATGGGGGGGAAGGCATACCTGGGGTGGGGCATTGAGCATGCCCGAGGACATGCCTACATCGATGCGCCACACTCGACCGCCACACTCGCTGCGGGATGGAGGGGAGCAAGGGAAAGCAGGGGAAAGCAGCAGGCAGCGCACGGAGAACAAGAAGACACAGATCAGCACAGAACATTCAGCATTGAGCATGCCCGCGGACATGCCTACATCGATGCGCCACACTCGACCGCCACACTCCCTGCGGGATGACATGCAGGGGGGATGACATGCATGGGGGAATGGCATGCAGGGGATGAAGTGTGCAGAGTATAGAGCCTTGAGCAATGACCATCGAGCATAGAGACAGGTCGATGCGCCACAAGAGAGATAGAGAAGAGAGAGTAGAGAGACGAAGCACGTTGAAGGAAAGCAGCATGCTCGTCTCGTCCACATGGTTACATGGTTACATGGGAGCATTGTTCACATGGTTGCTCACCCGTTGGCCCCTCCCACTTGCGGTGTGTGCCCCACCACAAGCCGCTTCGCTCCCACTGCATCCAGAGAAGCTGCCAGAACCGTGCAGATCTGGAGGATAGGTACAACGCAGGGGGGGGAGAGAGGAAGGGCAGGGGGAAAGGGGTAGGAAGGAGTCGTGAGTACAGTATTTTTTACGCACCTCATAATAGGCTCCTCACACCCCCAGTCCAGTATTCTTTACGCACCTCAAAGTAGACTCTTCACACCCCCAGTCCAGTATTCTTTACGCACCTCAAAATAGGCTCCTCACACCCCGCTGTCCAGTAGGTTGTTCAGTATCTAATGCCCCACTCACCTTGTACTTGTCTTCGCCCGACCCCAGGTACTCCTGCGAGTACAGCCGCGTCCACACCACGCTGTTGAAGCCTCTCGTCACGATGAACGGCATCGGGGACCGCTCCCCCTCGCCCCACACCTCGTCCCCCCGCATCCACTGGGAGAGCTCCCGGTTCATGCGGGGAAGACCGTACTCCACTGGAGGCACAGAGAAAAAAGGCGAGAGGAGCGCGTCCAGTTAGGTGCCATGTCCTCCAGCTTGATGAACGCATGTAAATCGAAAGCACTGCACACCCCTTGTCCCACACCTCCTCCCCGCGCATCCACTGCGACAGCTCCCTGTCTATGTGGGGCAAACCATACTCCACTGGAGGTACCGGGGGGAAAAGCGAGAGAAACGTAGGTAAATCGAAAGCACTGCACACACACCCCTCGTCCCACACCTCCTGGCCCCGCATCCACTGGGACAGCTCCCGGTTCACGTGGGGAAGGCTGTACTCCACTGGAAGGTGTTGGGGGGGGGGTTTAAGGGGGGGGAGAAGAGGGGAGGGGGGGAGGGGGGGAGCTGAGTGGAAGAAAGAGAGTGAAATTGGGTAGACGAGAGCATACGAGACGCCCTCCCTCGCCCCACACCTCCCCTCGCATCCACTGCGACAGCTCCCAGTTCATGCGAGGCAGACTGTACTCCACTGAAGGGTGATGGGGGGGAAGTGAAAGGGAGAAATAAGCGTATGACACTCCCTCCCTCGCCCCACACCTCCCCTCCGCGCATCCACTGCGACAGCCCCCAGTTCATGCGGGGAAGGCCGTACTCCACTGGAGGGGGGAGGAGGGATGGACAGGACAGACCGAATGCATGTAAGTCAACTTTTGAGTCGACTCAAAAATCACCTGAGGAGGGGTGGACAGGGCAGACCGAATGCATGTAAGTCAACCACCGCCCAAAATCCGATGACCTTGCCTCGCACCTCCACGCCTCGCATCCAGTGCAACAGCTCCCAGTTCGTGCGAGGCAGACCGTTATCCATGGAGGGCGTTTGAATGGAGGGAAGACGGGAGAAAGGGGCCATTCAGATTTGAATGGAGGCCATTTTTGAGGCGCCTCAAAAATGGAGGCCGTTATCAAATGGGGAGACGGGCCATAGTTTTGAGGCGCCTCAAAATTCAGATTTGAACGGAGGCCGTTATCAAATGGGGAGAAAGGGGCCATTTGAAAGCACAGCACACCCCTCACCTCGCGTGTGAGGAGTCTATTTTTCTGGCGCCTCAAATGCAGGTAAATCGAAAGCCACAGCACACCCCTCGCCCTGCTCTTCTTCTCCGCGCATCCGCTGGGATAGCCCCCCGTTCAGGACCCCGGTCTCGACCGTACTCCCTCACACTGCACCATGCCATGACAGACTGCTTCTCACCGTGGTGCAGCAGAATCCTCCTGTGTGCAAACAGCGTGTCGTTGATCATCAGTGCAGCACTGTTCCTCGCCAGCTCAGCTGCCATCTCCTGCTGTGCCAACAACGATACCGCTACCCATAAAAACACGCTGCACTACGCCCTTAACAGACTCCCCCTTACCATGGTGCGGCAGAATACCCCCGTGAGCAAACAGCGTATCGTTGATCATCAGCGCAGCGCTGTTGAATTGAATCAACTCAGAAGTCGCCCACATGCAGCAGACAACTCACCATGGTGCGGCAGAATGCCCCCATGAGCAAACAGCGTGTCGTTGATCATCAGCGCAGCGCTGTTCCTCGCCAGCTCCGCTGCCAGCGGGCCGCCCACTTCGAACAGCTCGTGTCGCTCCCTAACTTGTCGCTGACCCTGCATGGTGGTGGATGGGAAAGAAAGGGGGAGGAGAGGGGGGGGGGGGGGAGGGGAGAGGGACACGGAGGGTCGATGACTATACCATCATGCCAAACAACTCGGGTTGCTCGTGCACCTGCCAATGTCCCTATCGTGTGGTCTAAAAGGTAGAACTCGGGTTTCAAGGAGGGGAAGGGGCCCTGTCTTCTAGTTGACTCTATGACTTCACCTGTATGGAATTCCAACCCTTCCACGCCCCCCCCCCCCCCCCCCACACCATCTCTTCTCATTTCCCTGCATCCCCAGCGACGTCTTTCACCACATGAACGCGCCCTCCCAGCCTACTGGCTTGCCTCACTCAGTCCCCCCATCGAGCTCTCTCCCTCTCACACCTCCTCTCACACCTCCTCTCACACCTCCTCTCACACCTCCTCTCACACCTCCTCTCACCTGAATCGGGTTCCACCCGTTCCAAGGGCCTTTCCTTCTCCTCTTCGTCGCCTTCATCTCCTGCGACGCCTGCCACCACACGCTGAACGCGCTCTCCCAGTCGCCGCCGCACTCCGAGAGGCAGAACGAGTAGAAGTCCTCGCTCTCCTCGAAGCCGCCGTCCGACACGTACCGGAACTCCTCCGCTACATTCATCGTCTCGTGGTTGCCGTTCAGCTAAAGGCGGCGGGGGGGGGGGGGGGGGGAGACGAGCACTCGATTAGCCGCCGTCCGACACGTATATGATCTCCTCTGCTACATTCATCGTTTCGTGGTTGCCGTTCAGCTAAAGGCGGCCGGGGGGGGGGGGGGGGAGACGAGCACTCGATTAGCCGCCGTCCGACGCGTATCTGAACTCCTCCGCTACATTCGTCGTTTCGTGGTTGCCGTTCAGCTAAAGGCGGCGGGGGGAGGGGGGGGGGGGAAGGGGGGGGGCCAGGGGTGAAGGGGGGACGAGAGGTCGATTAGCCCCCACCTGCCTGACATGTATCTGATCTCCTCCGCTACATTCATCGTCTCGTGGTTGCCGTTCAGCTAAAGGCGGCGGGGGGGGGGAGGGGGGGAGGAGGGAGGGAAGGTGGGGGTGGAGTGGAGGGAGGGAGGGGGGAGAAAGAGGTGGGAGTAAGAATTATTGTATTTCTTGGCGCTCTTTCTAAAAGCCACACATAGATTCCAACCCTCACGAATCAATATTAGCTGTGCCTGAGGAGTCTATTTTTGAGGCGCCTCAAAAATAGACTTCTAAAAGCCACACATGAATTCCAACCCTGACGTATAAATATTAGCTGTGCCTGAGCTTGATTTTGCCGCCCCAGCAGCATTCCCTACTCGCACCCCTCTTACTTACCATGAGCAATGAGTCGATTTTTTAGTCGACTCAACAGGCACCTTCCTGCACGCGCCCGTCTTCATTGGGTGAGCAATGAGTCGATTTTTGAGTCGACTCAACAGGCACCTTCCTGCACGCGCCCGTCTTCATTGGGTGAGCAATGAGTCGATTTTTGAGTCGACTAAAAAATCTATTCGCACCCCTCTTACTTACCATGAGCACGCCGCCCCCGTGCCGCTGTGCGAGTCTATCCAGGTGCCTGAGCAGCGAGAGGATGGCGATCTCGTCGTCGCCGCGGTCCAGCACGTCGCCCACCTGGACCAGCACCGTCGACCCGCCCGTCCACAGGTCCTCGTCGCTCACGCCGTCTTTCTCGTTCAGCACGCCAGCGATACGCAGCGCCGCCAGGGTCTGCTGCCAGTCGCCGTGCACGTCGCCGACTGAAGGAAGGGGTGGCGGAATTGGAGGAGGACAGGCGTGGGAAACGGGGGGAGGTTCGTAGGAGGCGAGTGTGGCGGAGGGGGGGGGGGGGGGGGGGGGGGGGACGAGGAAAGGGGTTCGTTTGGTCGAGAATCTTCTAGTTACGCACTCGTCAGATGGGGAATGGGGGAAGATTCTCAAGAAGCGTGGCGTGGGGATGCGAGTAGGGGGCGTGGACAGGGGTTGGTTGAGAATCTTCGAGTTGCGCTCGCGTTAGATTTCTACTCACTCGCAACTATACGTTGACCCGGCGCCGCCACCCTAAACGGCGGCTCCGCCATCTCCCGCGCTTCCACCAGGCTCACCGCCTGCCACTCCCCCCTCCCCGCCGCAGCGTCTCCCCCGCGGACCCCCCACGCCCCCCGGCCGTTCCCGCTGCTGCTTCCCCGCGCCGCCCCGTTACCATTCTGCGGAACCCAATCGTCCCCGGCCAACGCCGCAAACGTTTCCGCAACTGCCGCTCGCGCGACCGCGCCTCCCGTCGTCCGCATCTGCGCATCTGCCGCCGCGGCTTTCGCCACTGCAACCGGTCGGCGGGAACCATGGTGCTTAGTCGTCGCACGCGCGCTGAACCCTTTCGCCGTTTTAAACCTGCCCAAATCGCCCACTGCGGCAGCAGCTGCGTCCTTTTCATGCCACGTGGCAGGGCACGTGGGCAACAGCGCGAGCGTAGCATTGGCAGAGGCGGAGGCGGAGGCGAAGGCGGAGGCGGAAGAACGCCGAGAGGATGTTCGCGCGGAAGTCGTCCCGCGCGCGGATTGCGCGAGGGCGAGCGCGGAGACGGGCTGCAGCAGCGCGAGCACGGCGAAGAGCGACAGCTGCGCCGCCAGCGCCACCGCGAAGCGCGTCTGGCGGTGCGCGTGCGGGCCGAGGTCGAGAGGCGCCGCCAGATGCGGCATGGTGAGCGGAAGGGCGGCTGAAGAAGAAACTTCGAAGGAAGCTTCGAAGGAAGCTTCAAGGGAGGCATGAAAGGACGAAGGAATCGGGGAGGTGGTGGTGGAGAGATCCGCCGAGGCTACTCCAGCGGCGGCGGCGCCGGTGGCGACAGAGGGGGTTTCAGCTGCGGATGGTGCTTTCTTGGACGGGGAAAGATGGACGGATGATTGGGAAGGGGTGATTGGGCGGGATCCCGACGGAGAGGAAAGAGCGGACGTCGTTAATCGGCTTTCCGCCCTTGCAGGATCCGCGCCGTAACGCTTCCCGTGGTTCGATGCATCATCGCTTCGCCCAACCCTAAACGCGGGCGATTTCCCTCGGGAAGGGGCGGGTGATCTCTTGCTACTGTCACACTTGCTACTGTCGCCGCTGTGCCTGCCCAAGGGGCTTGAAGCTCCCGTTACTGTCACCCACGTACGGCCATGTCCTCTGTGCGCACCGCCCAGTGCCGCGCTTCGAGCCCAGCGCGACGTTGCTCCCGTTCGCCACGAGTGCCACGTGGCAACAGTTGACACGTCAGCATCCGAAGAATTTGGGATCACTGAGAAGTAAGAACTCGACTGGCGGTGGTGGCTGGAGCACCGCGAGCTGGCAGAGTGACGAGAAGGTCCCGCGAATGCTCCGAAGAAGCTAGTCGGCTCGGCGCGGAGTGAGGGGGTGGCAGGTGTGATGGCAGCAGGGAAGATGGTGGTGGATGAGAGGGTGGCTGCAGTGGTGACAGCACTGCTGGCTGCTGTCTCTAATCGTAACGCAGGGAGGCTGTGCATCGGACAAGCCACGGCTGCTGCTGCAGCAGCCGCCATCGCGAGATGATGAGATTTGATGAAAAACGGGAAAAGGAGAGAAAAGAAATAAAGACAGGACTGAAAGACGGCCCGGGGATGTGTGGACACGAGCCTATGCTCCTGCCCTGTGGAAAATGGTGTGGCGAGCTGACCTCAAGAATCAAGGATGAGGCTCGTCACAACCAAAAAGACGACAGCCATTTCTGCAAGACACCACCTATTATCCAGCAAGCGTATGTGGAAGGGGCGGATGTGAAGGGTGGTTGGTTCCTATCGCCTTGGGATTTGGGAACATGGGAACATACGATGACGAAAGAGTTTGTAAATGTGTCGCCATGCTTTGTTACTGTTTCGTGGATTTCGTCACTCCAACATCCACGGCGCTTGACAGGGCATGTGCGTGAACCCCGCCAAAGCCGTTCTCAACTCAACCCAACAGAAGCCGCAACGCCCAAGTGGCAGCGTTTGGCTGACGAAGTTGCCACATCGTCCTGGGGCGCTGACGCCCCCACCACATCTTCTCAGCCAAGCTGTGCCCACCACGTGTATGCCCGCAGATGAGCGTAATCTTCCAAAGCCTCTGGCAAAAGCCCAAGATCTGCCGCAAGCAGAAATCTCAGCGGTCCGCCTCGCTGCCTGCCCGCGGCGACGTTTGGTCGGCCGGAATCACTTGTTCTGCGGCCCAGCCAAATCTGGCGGCCAGCTTGGACGAGTTGGGTACAGTTCCTGCCCCGATACAGTACAGGGCTGGGCATTGGGCAAGGGTGCGGTGGAGGTCGTTCCGCTTTCTAGCTTCACCACTTCTAAACCGTACAAACCGTGTAAATGATTAAATATAGTAAAAAGCACGCCAGAATAAAACCCAAGATACCAGCTCGTATTGCATAGTTTGTATGCACATCATGCACATCACCAGCTGCTTGCAGCAGGACCCTTGCCCCGATACAGTACAGGGCTGGGCATTGGGCAAGGGTGCGGTGGAGGGCAAAGAGCAAACCAGGGCAGCACTACTAGTCCGGCCACTGGAACAGAAGCCACAAGGCCAGTCAAGGTAGTATATGATAGAATACACAATCAAGGAACTAGACCAAGCTGTACACAATGCCGCTGATGATCTCTAGGCGCAAGCGCCTTTGTAAAGATATCAGCTATGTTGGCACCGGAAGCCAAATGTACTACGCGGGCCTGGCGGCGCTGCTGTAGCTCGCGCAGGAGGAAGTACCGCAGCTGGATGTGCTTCGCTATACCCTCCAGTCTAGGCTCCTGACACAGGAAGATCATGGTCATGTTGTCAGTGTACAAGACCGGGGCAGAGCTAGGCCGCTCACCTAAGTGTGTGAGCAAGAAAGTCAGCAAACGGAGCTCTTGTGCCGCTATGGCACCAGCGTAGATCTCAGCCTTACAGCTAGATTGGGCAACAAACAATGAGCATGTAGACCTCCACGATATGACACCTACACCAAGGTTAAATCAGTAGCCCTGGGAAAACCTGAGCATCTCAACGTCGTGTGCCCATGAAGCGTCTGTGTGTCTTGTAAGGACCACTGACATGTGTCCTCCTAATGCCCAATGTACTTGCCAGATAACGCAAAAACCTCTTAGCGGCCGACCAGTGCTGTAGACTGTGTCTGTCTGTGGCCACAAAGTGAGTCAGAATGCTGAGAGGGTATGCGAGATCTGGACGGGTGCAAGTCATCAGGTACATGAGGCAACCCACCAGCTCTACGTATGGACCACTAGACTCTACTGACTCCTCAGGGACTAGAGCTGAGAGCGTGTGATCTACTAGCGGAGGTGTGGGCTGTGTAGAGGAGAACTGAAGACCGAACCTCCGAAAGACCTAGCGCACCAAGTGTAACTGTGTGAGAGTGATGGTGCGCGCTGCTCTGTCCCTACAAAATTGCAGGCCAAAGTAGCGTTGCAGCTTTCCTAGGTCACACCTAACCTATCAAGCATAACCTACCGTACGATCTAGTATTGCAGCACACCTAACCTACCAAGCCTACACAGTTATATATAGATAATATATACAAGTTGACATACCCCATAGGCTTGCTAGGTGCTAGCACACCACACACGCAACACCCCCAAACCCTTGCAACCCAATTTGTTGCAGAAGCTGTGGCGTCTACCAGTGGGTCGACCCCTCGGCAATCGACTCGCAGCGGCAACGGCGGCGTCGGCGACTGCGGCGGTGTCGAGGCACCCGGTGGCGGCGGCGGCGGCGGCGCTCGAGGAACCCGGCGGGGTGGAACACACTGTAACGACGGGGGGAGGACGTCACGAGACCGCCAGCAGTCACGGCGGAGAGGAGGGGGAAATATAGAGGAGGGGGGCAAGTCTTCAGCGAGGCATCCTGGCTGGCGCGGCGCTGGCTGGTGTGCGGGCGAGCTGGCCGGCACTAAAAACGTGCGCTGGCTACGGTCGTCCGTGCGCTGGCGCATCGAAGCCGCCGCGGCAGCACGACGACGCCAAGGCAGCACGACAAGGTCACCGCGGCAGCGCGGCGAGGCCGCCACGGCTGCTCGACGAGGCCGCCACGGCGTCGCGAATGTGAAGGGAGGGGAAAGAGTACGCAGCGGAAGCGTGATGACAAGGCGCAACAGGAACTTCGTGCTCTGAAACCATTTCACAGTAACGAATTTGATTAGGAAGGGTGGTACAGAGTAGTTTTGTACTAGGTGTTATATTCGCTATGGCATGCACCAATCTAGCCTTTCACAATATACAGCGACGGAAGAAATTGTCCATATCTCAGCCACTGTAGCAAATAATCGTGTGTAGTGTTTAGAGATGCAGCTTATTAATTGCCAGGTTTTAAGGAAGAGTTAGACATATGCCTATACACGACTGTCACGTGGGAACTAGCCCTGAAAATACAGTATAATGTGCCTGGGCAAAATCCATACACACACAAGTACACTCGGACAGTTTGTGCCGTGTTCAAACTATGCAAAAGACACACTTGAAATCAGTACCTAGTCCATTTTCCCTTAGCCCTAACCACCGCCTTCACCCTCCTAGGCATACTATCAATGAGCCCCCTGCACACATAAGCATCTATCCCCTCCCAGATCTCTTGAATCCGCTCCCAAGTCTCGAGCATTCCTGAGGGGGGGTGCTCATATTTGGACAGCTCGCGTTTGAGATGAGCCCACAAGTGCTTGATGGGGTTGAGATGCGGGGATGAAGAGGGCCACAGCAGGACTGAATATTCCTGCTCAGACAACCACTCCTGCACAAGGCGGGCCTTGTGCTTGGGGTCATTGTCATGCTGGAAAATAACATCACAGGTATTAAGGTCATAAAAGTCAATGGTTTGTGCAAGCTCATCTTGCAAGATGCTTCGATACAGCTGCCCGTCCATACGACCGTCGATTTTACACATGTATCCAGGGCCATCATACGTCATACACCCCCATATCATGACTGCCCCACCCCCATGCTTTACTGTTTGTTTTATGTGTTGCCCTTGAAGAGCCGCCCCGTCGACTAGGCCAGACAGTTTGAGGGCGTTGCGGACTGCTCTGGGGCAGATCTTAATGCCGCGGTCTGTTTCCAGTAGCTTTGCGGCTTCTACGCTAGTCTTCACCTCGCCTGAAGTCATAGCGCGAACAAGGATGCGCCTGTCACGTACTGAGAGCAAGCGCGGTCGGCCAGACCTCGGGACTGTTGGCCTAGCCGCTAGGCTGCTGGTGCGCTGAGAGGCCTCTTGAGCGTATTTCTGAACTGTGCTCTTCCCTATCCCTAGCATTCTAGCGATCTGACGGAAGCTATGACAGCGTCGAATCAAGGTCACGATCCTATCTTTCTAGCGCGAAGCAAGAGGCCGCATCGTTGCTATGAGCCTAGCGGGGTTCACGTTATGCCGTCGATACAGACTAGGAGGTTAGGTTTGCGAGATCGCGAAATGCGGAGAGAAAATAGACCTTGCCTCGAATCGGGAGCTAATTGTCCGCATCGAGTCTCGCTAGCAAAGTGGTGGACTCACTATAAGCAACTCGATAAAACGTACAATACCATACAGCATAAGGATGCTTCACTCCTTAGTCACATGGTACAATGGGTACTTGGGGATAAATGTACACGGTACATGCTGAAAATACAAAATCTTATGGCTAGTGAGAGTACGACCCCGTTACACCACTTGTCCCTTTTTCTTATTTTCATTTCTCTTTTTATCTCATCTCATTTGGTTTCCTCTTCTCCATTTTCCATTCACCTTTGGTTTATCCTGCTATTATAGTTATATCACCGACCAGGCTTGGGATGTACTGGTGCGCTATACCTAGCGTAATCCTGCCGTAATCCCTTAAAGCCAATAGCTTCGCGTGGCTATACGCAGGGTGATTCTATCTTCTAGAAGGGTCTATTCCCTTAGGATAAGATAAACCTGGTTACCTGATGTACTTTGGAAGTATAAAAGCGCCTTGTACTGATCGTTAGTGCAACCTTTCCTCGACACATTCGATCCTGTGACACTTGGTAATCAGAGCTTTTCTCACTCGACCGCGCTCAGCTAAGCAGCAGCAGCGGGGATCCTGCCTCGAAAAACCGCCGGGGGCGACCAATTCGACGCCGATTCTGGTAAGCACCAGCTCCGCGATTTTCGAATTACCCCCTCCGTGCGTGTTTTGAACAGGATGGCAACCTTCGACAACGCCGAGGTTACCCAGCAGCTCTTCGCGCACATTGCAGCCCTTCAGGAGGAAATGCGAGCGGATCGCGAAGCGTGGCGAAACCAGTTCGAGCGAGTAACTCGACTCGCCGGAGCGCAGCACGAGACGACAACGGCGACGACGCAGCAGTCGCAGCAGTTTCTCGAGGCTCCGAAACCACGCCCACCTGAGCCGTTCGATCCGAACGATCGAAATTCCGACGCCCGCAGATGGATCGCCGGGATGGAGATCTACTTCGCAGCCGTCGGATGGAGCTCGCCAGTCTGGGACGGACAACGTGCACGACTCGCGGCGACACAGATGCGAGGGCCGGCACTCGAGTGGATTGGCGGCAACAGTACATTCATCCATGGTGAAGCCACGTGGCAGCAGTTCCGCACCGACCTACTGAAACGCTTCGAGCCGATAAATTCGAGTTTCCTTGCCCGGGAAAAAATTCATCGACACCGACAGTTCGGGAGTGTAGCGTAGTACACGCAGCAAATGGAAGAATTTTATAACC